CACGGCCTTTTTGGCCGTGAATTTATCTTTTTTTGGGAGGGCACCGCGGCCAGTCATAGGGGCATCGACGGCCTGGCCGTCGATGGCCGTCGATTAATTTAAGGCCTGAATTAAAGAGAACTGAATTTGAACCCGGGCCATAGGCTACCCCCTCTCGTTCTCTCTCCCTCTCTCTCTCCCTCTTCGTCGCCTTACTTTTCCCTCTCTTACCTCCCTGTGCATTTGTATGCCTCGATAATACAAAAAATAAACAATAAGATTCTTCCTCTTCCCCTTCTTCTTCCTAGTACATGTAGTAGGAGTAGTACTAGAAGCAGTATCACAATAATAATGACAACAATTATTATTATGGTTGGTGGTGTTACTAATGTTATTTTTGTAATTATTATGTTTGTTTTTGTGATTATTATCCTTATCATGATTATTATCGTTAAGATAAGTTATTATTGTAATTATTATAATCATTATTATTGTTATCATTATGATGAATATGAACATGATGATTTTGATGACGATTAGTATAAGTATATAGTATTATTATAATTGTTATCATATCATTATTATCATTTGTATTATCAGCATAATCTACAATGGTAGTAGTGTAGTATAGTACATGTAGCATTAGGCCTTATAGTAGAGGTATCATTCTGATCATTATTATTCTGATTATCTTTTGCAATACATCTAGACGATAAACTCATGACAATTGACAATTGTCATGAATCATTGTCTTTAAGTTGACCATTTAATGCATCTGGTTCGAATTTTGCTCAGGTATTTGGTACTGGATGATTTAAATGGTAGAAATTAACTTGTGTCCTATTCATTCTAGTCTTATTCATTTGCATTATGTTTTATTCATTCAAGTTCTAATGTTTCTGACTGTTTTCAAGACAATATCTTATGTGTCGATCATAATTCTATGTAGCTTGATATCTCACGGTAATTTTGAGAGAAAAGCAATGCAAGCAATGATTTCTGAATTGTAGCGACTATCGCGTTCGCCTTTGCTGTTCTTCAATAATATTTGACAAGCAGTATTAATTAATTTTTCAAGTACTCATGATAAATTCGTTTAACAGTTGATTACCCTCGGTTGATTCTTTTGTTCGGATTATTTGGCGGGGAAAATAGAAGTGAATGTATTATTATTCTTATTTGTTCATCGTCTCTACGATGCTCTTTGAATCAAAAACAGCTTTTAGTGTTAGGCTTCCTGAAAGAAATTTCAATTGTTGTTAAGAAATTTTTGGTTGCACTCTGTAGATTATGATGATGTGTTTGATCTTTTTTTCAATACAAGATCAAACACATGATGAAAATCTACTGGCTGGATGCCAATAAGTTCTTGACAACAATAACAAAATGTGAGCTAGTGCTATTCGGTGTGGCGTACACATGGCAATCACATGGTAGATAAAATTATGATCATCAGTACTGGGTCAAATAAATTAAAGAGAACTGAATTTGAACCCGGGCCATAAGCTACCCCCTCTCGTTCTCTCTCCCCCTCTCTCTCCCTCTTCGTCGCCTTACTTTTCCCTCTCTTACCTCCCTGTGCATTTGTATGCCTCGATAATACAAAAAATAAACAATAAGATTCTTCCTCTTCCCCTCCTTCTTCCTAGTACATGTAGTAGGAATAGTACTAGAAGCAGTATCACAATAATAATGACAACAATGATTATTATGGTTGGTAGTGTTACTAATTTTATTTTTGTAATTATCAGGTGGGCTGTATATCGTACAGACCACCTTATAATTTCGTTAGAATTGCCTTTGTTTATTTATTTATCTATTATCAGGTGGGCTATATATCGTACAGACCACCTTATAATTTCGTTAGATTTGCCTATATTATCAGGTGGGCTGTATCTTATACAGACCACCTTATAATGTTGTTAAAATCGCCTTTATTATTCTTTATTGTTAGGTGGGCTGTATATCGTACAGATCACCTTATAATTTCGTTAGATTTGCCTTTATTATTTATTTATTCATCAGGTGGGCTGTATATCGTACAGACCACCTTATAATTTCGTTAGAATTACCTTTATTTATTTATCAGGTGGGCTGTATATCGTACAGACCACCTTATAATTTCGTTAGAATTGCCTTTATTTATTATCAGGTGGGCTGTATCTAATACAGACCACCTTATAATTTTGTTTAAATTGCCTTTATTATCAGGTGGGCTGTATAGCGTACAGAACACCTTATAATTTCGTTAGAATTGCCTTTATTATTTATTTTACTTATTTCAAACCACTTTTTTGTAAGCACGATTACTTGAAAATGGCTCAAATTTGGCACACATATATGTATAGGCATATGTACAAAACACAATTACGTTTTCAACTATGACCTTCACTGATGACGTCATCTAGGCGCCATTTTGTATTTTTTTCTGAAAATTAACTCATGATCATATCTTCATAACCAAAAGCCATTTTTGATTCATATTTATCATGATTAAGGTCAATATTCGTCCGGTCAATATAAGGTCAAAAAAATGCGCGCGTACGCGTACGTCCGCGCGTCGGTGCGCGCGCAAATTTTCAAAATGCACAAAAAAAACTCAAAATCATTTAGCATACGTTTTAGGCCATTTAAAGCATTTTATAAAATATCTCGCACACGCGCATGTGCGCGCGTTTTCGCCCGTTCTGACATTTTGCAAAACAGAATCGCCAAATTTTCTTCGTCATCATATTTAGCACATTTTTTCAAGCATTTTGATACCTTGTTCACCTTTTTCTGACCATTAAAGGTAATACAAAGTTTTGGGAAATTTTGAAAATTGGGTGGATAGTGATTCTTTACAATTTTGTTATATTTGGATGCCCCTATGGATGTATTATAAGCACTAAAAAAATTAGCCACTAAAACTCTTCTGTTTTCGAGAAAAATTGAATATAAACATTTACCGGTGCTCCCGGTACATTTTGATAAATTTCAAATAGCGCCTATGGCCGTACAATGGTAGCTGCGACCATGAAAATTTCAGAGTATGTAGTTGTGATATATAATTTCCAAACGGGAATAGCTAATCGGTCGGTTTCAGTCAAGAAACATTGTTTAATAGCTAAATTAATATCTTGACCTTGATAGGGAGCTATACAACATTAAGAGTTTATTATTTATAATTTCATAACTTTAGACTCGATTTCAACCGCGACAACGATCAATGAATATTGTAGGAACACTATGCTTCCGAAATTGTTAATTTGAACCAAATTCATGACCCCATACCAAAACTTTGTAATACCTTTAATAACGGAGTGAGGGTCCGTTCAAGATACATGTCCGTGCGTGCGAGCTCTTGTAATACATAGCATATAAGGGAAAAAAATCATGCCCATACAAAATCCATTGTAGCTCTTTAGAATGTAAGGTGACCCCTATTTTTTTCATATGTTGATAGAGTATGAATCGGAGATATGATTTCATGTCTCATTTGACCCTCAATTAACTCACGACGTCATCATAATGGCCTCCGAACTCATTCAATTTGCATATTATGACGTCAGCATATTTTTTGAAAATTGATTGTATCTCTGTAAAATAAAAAAAAAATATTGATCAATTTTCTCTTCAATTTTGATATGTTCTAGCTGGGACAATCTTCTACGAATGCAGTCTTCACAATTTTTCATTTTGACAAAAGCATCATGGCGTATTTTTGCGATTAAAGGAGGAATATCAGTTTTTCACTTTTTGCGTGTATTCTCTATGGGACATGCCTTTTTTCAAAACTGGATTCTACATTCCCGTCTTTCGCGAGCAATATCTCCGTCGTTTTAGCTCCGTTTACGCTGAACTTCGAGTATGTTGTAGCTGAGACAATAAGCTATCTTAAATTTGCCCTTTATTTTGTCTCAAATTTTAGTTAGACCAGCCCACCTATACTTGTTCAAAACAAGTATTACAAATCTAGTTATTATCATTATCATCAACATTGTCACCGGAGCAAGTGTCGCTTCAGGCGGAGCAAATGTCGGCGGAGCAACTGTTGGCGGAGCAATTGTCGGCGGAGCAAATGTCACCGGAGCAATTATCGCGTTTTGCGGAGCAATTGTCGGCGGAGCAATTGTCGGCGGAGTAAATGTCGGCGGAGCAACTGTCGTTCGAGGAGAATTTGTCACCGGAGCAATCGTCGCGTTTTGCGGAGCAATTGTCGGCGGAGCAATTGTCGGCGGAGCAAATGTCGGCGGAGCAATTGTCGGCGGAGTAATTGTCGGCGGAGCAAATGTCGGCGGAGCAAATGTCGGCGGAGCATATGTCGGCGGAGCAAATGTCGGCGGAGCAATTGTCGGCGGAGCAAATGTCGAGGAGCAAATGTCGCGGAGCAATTGTCGCGTTTTGCGGAGTAAATGTCGGCGGAGCAATCGTCGGCGGAGCATGTGTCGGGTTACCAGAGATAGAGTGAGAGAGTGAGAGAGAGAGAGAGAGAGAGAAGGATAGAAACAGAGAAAAAGGGAAGGGAAAAGGAAGAGTTAAAGGAGTGACATGAATATACAACAGATGTTAACCTAAACATGATGCGAGAAATAACATAATCCTGCATATCAAGATAAAAGTGTAATCGTAAAACTTGTTATCTTTAGTGTATTCTTTAAATACACAAAAATGTTAACCAATACGTATACAATTTCCTGAATTTGTGAATAGATATGCACAGCCTAATGGATTATTTTAGTTTCATTCAACGGTGTAGTAAAATACAAAAGGCACATCAGTATAAACATTGATATCAGATTAAACATTCTAATAACTAGAACAAGTCGAACAATATTAGACAAACATCGACTTACTACTGGTAAACAGAAGGTTACTATGCCTCCGAATTTTTTTTTCACGGATTTTCATTTGGTAGGCGGATGAAATATGGAATTTTATTTGTGGGAATGCCTGGGTATGTAGTCTAGTTGTGCGTGTGTTAGGTTCAAGGGTGATTACTAGTAGTAGTAGTAGTACTACTACTACTACTACTACTTCTATCGCCATTATCATTGTAGTAGTAGTAGTAGTAGTAGCAGTAGTAACTTGTTTAGAACAAGACTAATCTTCCACAAGGTCCATTTCATAAATTTCCAACGGTACATAGTTAGATAACAAACCGTTAACAATTAACGTGTGACAATTTACATGTAAGATACGAACATTTTACGTTTGAACACAACACTATTGAAATATTGACATAATGGTGAAGCGAAAAACCAAAAGGGTAAAGTATACGGCCTTGATTTAAATGCTGTAATAATAAGGTAGTAGTTGTAGTTTATTTACATCATATCTATTTCGATTGTAAAATACCTTTCATCTATAACTAGATTACATTCCAACGAATACGAACCACGAAGAAGAATTCTATAGTATAGTAATAACAGAAATAATAACCGAGGCCTATATAGTTCTATCGTTGTTGTTGTTCTTTAATTCTTGCTGTTCATTATCATTATAATTACCATAATTATTATTAGTAGAAGCAGTAGTAATATAGTAAAACTAGTATCATTATTATAACAGAAATTGTCAATTCAGAAGAAAAACCCAAGAATCTCCATCTTTGTCCGTTGGCCCACTTTACCACAATCCTCTGGCCGTTGACTTCTCGGCGGTTCTCGTGCTCGATCGCATCCTACAAACAACGTGAACGAAAAAAACAATAGTCATAATACATAAAGAATTTATTTTAAGCATTGCTAACCAATGGGAGAGTGGTGAAATGAGTGTGTGTGTGCGTGTGTGTGCGTGTGTGTGTGTGTGTGTATGGGGGTGGGGGTGGGGGAGAAAGACAAGATGAGAGAGAAAAAGGGTGAGAGATGCAAGAGGAGGGAGAAACATAAAGAGAGTGGGGGAGATGGAAACGCATGATTTTCCAGTATTCATGCAGCACAACAAAAGGGGATGGAGAGAATATATGGGCAGAGAGAAAAAAGGGGGGCACAAGAAAGATGGTCCCATCAAGATGATAGGCACAGTTGAATGAATGGCAGAACAATAACAAGGGGCAGGGAGGGGTGGTTGTAAACAAAAATAACTTTCCTGCTATTTCAAATTTGAGACTTTGGGTTATAATGTATCCATTTATCCGTGCATATGGAAGTATAATTTGCATTTAAAGATATAAATTACAATTATAAACCTCACAACAGTATTTTTTCGCAACTGCTGTAAAAAAAAAGTATAACAATGGAGAGCCCATTTTTTTCTAACCTTTTTTTCCTTCTTTATTTAAAAAGAAATCCAGGTATTCTATCAATATTGAAGAAATGAAGGAACAAATAAAGGTAATTTTCCCCCCTTATCACATTGTTGTAAAGCTGCATGTACATGAAGCTGAGTAGAATGTTATTATGTCACTTATAGAGTTATAATATAAGATAGTGAAAAAACGCTCAAAACTTAAAATTCATGATTTTAATCTTGAATTCTTAACAAATGTATTTCAAAAAAAAAAATATTATAAAGATAATGGTAAGCATATTTTAGCCCCTGTCTTATGCATGTTCATTGATTGATAATTGCCTATGTTTGATTTGTGTCCTTCATATTATTTTGTAGCAAATTGCAATAGTAATTCCTTTTTGTATTTCTTAATAGAATGGCCAGTACATTTCTGTACTTGTACTTATCAACAAGATCCTGAAGACAATTTGAATTAATAACTTTTGAATACATTGAATATTTTACTCGAATAGATTTCATGATCCCTCGAGATATCCATGTTTTTTTTTAGCAGTTTCCTTCTTTCCTAACTACTTAGTAACCAGTGGTATATGTTTTTACAAAGATTAGAGAAAGAAGTACATACATTGAGATAAGCTGTGTTGACCTCTTGAATTATATACCGTTCCCCAGTTATAGCCAGCAAGCTCTTCTCTAAATACATTTATATCATATTCCTTTTAACATCTACATCGATTTTTTTTTTTTTTTTTTTTTTTTTTTTTTTTTTTTACTAGACTGCACTTTTGCTATGTTCTTAAGATTGCAAAAACTTTGAAATGATCGGACACATCAGATTTTATATGTAATTTCCATAATAATATCTATAATGTTCTCTCAGTAACTGTGTTAACTTATTATGGGCATTCCCAACTCAAGCTATGCTTTTCGGGTTGTCGCCTCCTTCCGTATCTGAATTATTTACTGCATACTCTATGTTGAAAGCTTGTTACATCATATTGTACTGTTGAGAAGGAAATACATGTTAATAAATACAATACAATACCTGAATGAATTTCAGATCCATTGATATTTGAATATATTATAAGATCTAGTAAAGTAGCAGATTCTTTTGTCACTCTTGTTTGCGATTGAATAAATTGATCTAAGCCTATGCATTGTAATGATGTCAAAAACTCCTCTACTGTGACTTCTTCATTCAAAGAATTAAAATTGAAGTCACCCAAAAGTAAACATGTACATCTCTCTCAATACGCTATGCCTAAACCTAAAACCAAACACTGACCCTAACCCTATATCTTTGATATGCAACCCAAAGAATTTGTTGCTAGAGCATATAAATTATGTACAGTCGAACCTGCCTTAGCGGCCACCTTTTTATAACAGCTAACAGCGTAACAGCTGCACTGCTAAAGCCAGGGTAATTGTGCTGCATTATTGTAGAGCGCTTAGAGACTTCTGACAAAGTAAGCGTTAGGCGCTATATAAGCACTGTAAGTATTATTATTATTATTTATAAAGACCACCTGTCTATAGTGATCACCCATATTGTCAGAAAAACATGTATTGAAGAATCTGTCTAGAAAGGCCAACTGTCTACAGTGTGAATTTGGGCGGCCTTAATTAACATGTTTGATAGTACACACATAAAAACAGAACCTATGCCTCTCCTATATGTATAGTTCTGCTATTTTACTTTTGACCTGGACAAAAACCCAAATAAAATCCCGGAAGATTTTCAGCCAAATTCTTATGGAAGAAATAATCGTTTTTTATAATCTTTTTATATACTCGAGGTATTGTTCAAGTGTATTTTAATAAATGAGTCCTTTTCCGTATCTTCGTAGGAAAAACATGAATGCAAGATAGAAGGAAAGGAAATAGAGGACTTAGATGAAAATAGGCTGCAGAAATTACATTCAAGATGACGTGGACACAGTCAAGCTCTGGAATTTTAAAGTTCTTATTTAGAAGTGAGAATTTATTTCAGGCAATAGAATACCCTAATAGGAAACAAGTATATGCTGGAAACTAGACCAAAACTACCAAGTTGCAAAGTGTAATGTTATTTTTTCGGTGTAAGAAAAAGAATAGCAACTTAAATCATCATGGTACCGGAGTGTTGGCTCAGTCAGTAACCGGGAGGTCGTGGGTTCGAACCCAAAAGACGTTAAAAGATGGGAGTTGTTGCTACCTTGTTTGGCGTTCAACAGTAAGGGATAGAGCAACGTCGATCTGGCGCTGCTCAGTGGCTGCCGGGCTCACGATCAATCGGGCAAAAAAAAAAATTCCGTTTCGGTTTAATAAAATTTGGAGTGGACTATTAGGCTATTATTATTATTATTATTATGCATTGGAGATAAAATTGGTGTTAAATTAAATAATAATAATTGAATTCATGAAGCGCCTTTTCCAAAGGTTACAGGGCGCTGTCTCTTAGGCTATCAACAATTTAAGAGGAGTTGTAAAGGTAAGTTTTCTTCTCTTTTTTTTTAATCTAGTGAAGTACTGTTTCAGAGGAGTTGTAAAGGTAAGTGTTTGTTTTTTTTTTAATCTAGTGAAGTACTGTTTCTTAAGAACGAGGGGAGTTTGTACCACAGACGTGGGGCTGGATTTGAAACCAGCCTGTTTACGGGATTTGGGAATGACAAAAGTAGAAGCTGCTAAATACCTAAGAGAATATGATGTTCTCCGTTGCTGAAAGAGTGAGGAAATGTATACGGGAAGTGTGGTCGACATAGATTTGAAAGTTTGAACAAGTATCCGGTATTGTATTCTATCAGCTGCAACTCGCAGCCAGTGTAGTTTATGCAACATTGGAGTAGCATGCATGGGGCAGTTTCAGTTTTTTTTTTACAGATTAGACGAGCACGTTTGTTTTGGACACGTTGAAGTTTGCCCAGGTCCTTCTTACTGACACCCCCAAGCAAGCATCCACCATAGTCAATCCTGGAGAGCACAAGTGCTCTAACAACATTGTGACATATTTCTCGATCTAAGCGCCTTCTGATGCGATTTAAGTTATATATTTGCCAGTTCAGGGTGCGACATAAGTTGGTGACATAATAATAATAATAATAATAATAATAATAATAATAATAATAGCCTAATAGTCCACTCCAAATTTTATTAAACGGAAACGGAAATTCTTTTTGCCCAATTGATCGTGAGCCCGGCAGCCACTGAGCAGCGCCAGATCGACGTTGCTCTATCCTTTTATTGTTGAACGCCAAACAAGGTAGCAACAACTCCCATCTTTTAACGTCTTTTGGTATGACGCGGGCGGACGCTCTACTGACTGAGCCAACACTCCGGTATACATGGTCAGACATTTTCATATTCCCATCAAACACGACCCCCAGGTCCCTAATTGTTGAGGAAATGGGAATGTTCTGATCACCAATAGTAAAAGACAGATTATTGAGACGATTCAGATGGCTTTGTGATGCAGCAATGAAACATTCTGTCTTGCTATAATTTAACTTTAGCTTAGACATGACAAGGCAGGCCTGTATGTCTTCTAAGCACTTCGAACTGTTATAACTGTAAAATAAACACTTTGAAAAATGATACAAGTTAGGATTCATGAGTGGGCCTGCAAATCTATTTAAATTGATAATATATGTACTTTGTACCTAAAAAGCATAATACATGCATGTGGCCACCCCTCCCCCCCCCCAAAAAAAAAAAATAAAAAAAATTATGCCTTATGTCAGGCTTTTGCTTGAAAACTGGCATCCCCGCTTTAAATTTGGCTAGATTAAAACAAAAGACGGAAATAATTTTATATAGTCTGATCATCTACTCTAATAACATTACAACTGTAAGATCGAACCTTAAACTTGAACAATGTCTCAAAGCAGATTTCTGTCAAAATACCCTATACTCTACCAAAAAAAATTATCTTTAAAATTTGATTTAAAAAAAATAAGATCTCAGACGTACCTCTGCGTCACGTTGGTTGGCATAATTCACAAAGGCATAAGCTGTAGAGAAACATAAAAAAGAAATTATAACCAACGACTTCTGAAATCAAAGCCTTTAACATCTACCTCATACCTTCAACATTTTAATCAGCTGAGTAAAAACTTTTGTCAAGGAAAGCAAGAATATGTAAAATTGAAATAATAATGCCCCCTCTTCCCCCAACCCAAAATCCAAAGCTTGTTTCATTCAAATTGCCATAAGCTCTTTCTGTAAAAAAAAACCTAAATTGCCACAACCAAAGTGACTCTTTACATTTTAAAAGTGAATTGGACAGTTTTAAAACACAACAAAAAAGGACGTATATCTATTTATATTTTGTACACATATGACAGTTAGTCCCCCCACACCCCACCCCGTATTGCACATTAGATGTATACATCTACAATTTACATAAATCTACAGTTTCTACTTATTACTTAAAAACCTTCTAATTATTAAATCAGATGTTTTTTTTGTATTAGATATTAATCTGTAGGTATATTGTACACTGTACTTACCCCATTCAGTACCTATGATAAAAAAAACAAGAAGAGAAAAAGAAAATATGTTCATGTACTGCGTAACGTGTTGGTGATCACAGTACATTTTCTTAAGTGTACCCATATTACTATCAATGAAAAACAAAATAAAAAAGTACAGTATTCAAGTTTTATTACAAGCATAACAAATAACCAATATGAAAGATAGATTTTCTTCAGTTAAAATTCAAATAGATATCAGCGGCAAATGAAGTGAGGGACTGAGTAAAGTATAAACATAAACCAGCTCCACGTATAACTACATGTATCTCTGAAGGCCTTCGTTTTTTTTCTCTGCCTTTGTCTATGCATGCATATATTCTCCCATCAACCCTTGCGCGACAATCATTCCACATTTTGTGGTTTGGCTCAATAAATTTGGATTCAGAACTCTAAAAGAGATGCCAGATGCATGAGTAGAAAGAGCAAAAGTTTCTGGACACACTACAGAGTGAGTCAAAAAAAAGTTTACACCTAGAAAATTGCAAATTATTAAAAAAATCATTGATGAACATTACACTGTTATATGTCTTATGAAAGAGTGTTTTATCCCAAATCATTTGGTACCATTTTTGTGTGGTATGTGTTCACGCTTGGATGAACAGGAGACATTGTTTGCGAGAGTGCAAAAATCGAATTGCGCCAAAGTTGCCTATGTGATATTTGAATAAAACAATTGGGTTTTGGGTATTAATTCGGTATTTGCAGATCCAAATAACACTCCTAACAAAATTAATCATGCCACACATATCAAATATCGAATATCAAATATCAACGAACATTTGTGCGCGTGTGTGTGGGTGTGTGTGACTTTGCTCTTTGCAAAAAACATATGCAATGCATTTCATTTGATACATTCAATCCATTCTCTCACTCCGCTAATCCCAACATAATACATACTGAAGTCATCACTTTGGCGCAAGTCGATTTTTGCACTCTCGCAAACAATGCCACCTGTTCATCCAAGCGTGAACACATACCACACAAAAATGGTACCAAATGATTTGGGATAAAACACTCTTTCATAAGATGTATAATAATTTACTGTTCATGGATGATTTTAAAAATAATTAGCAATTTTCTAGGTGTAAACTTTTTTTTGACTCACACGGTATATCTGGTTTTGTTTTATGACTTTATTGCGTTTGATGTCAGGAATTTTAATAGGGAAAATAAGCTTTAAAATTCTTAATTTGGCATTTCAAAATCATTATTTTTCTATCGATATTAAACTTTTTTCGGCAACTTTTCCAGGAATATCATATTTTATTTAAACAATGTAGCAATTATAGAAAAATCATAATTTGTTGCCAATTTGAAGAACAACATGTAATAAATGTAGCCCCGAAAATAAATCCTGAACTGAAAATTCTGCAGGTATTCGTGAAAAATAAATCGGGTAAATAAGTGTACTTTACACATATACCAGCTACATGTACAATGACGTGTAATGTATCTCTGAAGGCCATATGTTTTTCCTTTTTTGGAATTGACCTATTAATTTCACTCTATTCAATAATATACATAATTATGTACACCAACACATCTCTGAATGTGGGTACATGTAGGACAAGGGCATTGAAAGAAAAAGGCCATTTAACAACTAAACGTACAATAGTGTAAAAAATACAAATACAAATATAACCTTTACTTTACCTGCCTATTATGTCTTCCTAAAATGTGTACACTAAGAAACATATGAGAAACACCATTATAAAGAAGAAGTGAGAAATTATTATCAGAAAATTAACTGAATCAAGAAGTGCTAAAATATCACAGTGCTTCACCACTCTTCACCCCTCTCATGATACATGTGTACAATGTTTTAACAAAAGGAAAATATATGGCCTTCAGAGATACATTACATATCCTTGTACATGAAGCTGGTTTATGTGTAGATTACACTCAGTCAGAGTACCTGCAGAATGTTCTTTGTATATGTGTTGAACATTTAACTTTGTAATCTCTGTTTGTATCAGTCTCCCGTCTGTTTTAAAAAGGAATTTTGTTTCAATAAACCGTAATGAATGAAAAAAATCCAATGTATTTTTGGTTTTTGAATCACACCAACAGTCTTCCACGTTTCTAGGATAAGTCAATACACAACTTGAACTTCCTGTATTGTTAGTCTTTTGAAGACAAATAAAAGCCCAATAATATTAATCTTATTTGGGTCATTGTACCCACACGTGTGTCCGGACAGTTTGTTTTTCCGGACAGTTGATTTAAAACAGCAATTTGAAGAAGTTTGCAAGCAACATTTCATACCTTTTTTTAATACTTATATTGACAACATTATAAAGCATAAATATTTATGATGGTTAGTGTTTATTTGATGCATACATGTAGGTAAATCCGAAGACAAAATAAAAGGCTCTATGTTTGTTAACTGTCCGGACACCCAATCCCCCCAGCCCCCCCCCCCCCCACTCAATGTTATTTAGGGTACGCATATGCTCGTTCCCTCTTTTTGAAAGCATCCCCGGCCTATCTGAGGACTGCCAATATTTCCGAACCCCCCTTTCGCGGGCATTTCGCCGGCTTTTCCTGCCTTGGAGACCCCCCTAAATCAGGAAAAATGCTCAATGTACCCCCCTAAATTCAGAATAATATCTCAGGAGTCCAAAGAGATGAGAGAAAAAAAGAAAAAACACCCCCCCCCCCTTTTAAAGAAATATCCGGGTGAAAAGTCAAATACACCCCTTTTTTTTTTACAATACTCGGGCCGGACTTTGTCGCACGAAAAGTACCACTTTACCGGACATTTTGGCAACACGCATGCGGTCATTCCGACCTCTGAGTGGGGGGGGGGGGGGCCGGGCCAATCCCCCATCATACAAATGAGGAGACGTGCTGGGTCTTTGGAAGAGTGCAGTTTTTTTTTTTTTTGAGGGGGAGGGTGATAAAATCCTGACTTTGCTATGAAGACAATTTAGTAATCAAATGAATGACTTTTTCTTGACAAGGTCAACTTTAAGGAGGCGCGAGAGCTCAGTCGGTAGAGCAGTGGTCTCGTAATCCGGTGACCCGGGTTCGAAACCAAGTCGATGCGCTAGTGCCCTTTAATTGGTAAGGCATTAATCCTCATTATTGTGTAAACTCTAATTTAACAGCCTTCTCGTAACATGAGCCACTTGTCATCGAGTTCGTTCATGTTTGTAGACACACAATTGCCTGTAAACTTTTAAAGACCCTGTCCGATGAAAAAACGACTTTGTATCAATGGAAAGCTGAAATAACATAGAATAAAAATAAAAAAGAATTCAAAATATTTTCCCTTTCAGTATTGCACAAAAGCGAATTACAACCTTATTTTCCGCACCTCTCCAATTTAAAGGCCAACAGGGGTCAAATTTGCTGCAGTTACAGTGACGACACAATAACAAGACAGTGCACCCGATCGGCTCGCCTATATAGCTGAGGCGATAAGCCGTGTTCAATTAATGCAAAATCATTGTGAATATGCGTACCCCACAAGGGTGTCGATTTGTATCCTCGGTTGGGGGGAATGATAGGTGCCAAAATATTTTCGGCAATGGATCAAAGCAACCAAGAGGTAGAGGCGTGTGGCAGGTTGCACCCCCTCCCTCCAAGTTTTTAACTTTTTCAAGTCACCCTCAATAAAGATAACATTTTAGATAATATGGGACCCATGTGTGTCCCACATGCTTGCTACCTGGGTTATTATCCTCTCAAGCATATAGGCAGGATTTTATTTTAGGGGCCGGTAGTGAGCACCTCCTATGGGGTGGGTGCAGGGAGGGGGGGTTTCCCCCTCCCGCACGAAGCGCGGAAGCTCTGACGTTTCATTAAATTATTAAAGAAAGAAGACGATTCGTTGTACCATTCTCGACTCTTAATCCTTGTCTGAATTCAGTTCCCTCCCTCCCGCGCGAGGCGCGGAAGCTTTGACGTTTCATTAAATTATTAGAGAAAGAAGACGATTCGTTGTACCAATCTCGACTCTTATACCTTGCTGAATTAAGTCCTCCCCCCCTTTTTTTCGCGCGAAGTGCGGAAGCTTTGACGTTTCATTAAATTATTAGAGAAAGGAAGACGATTAGTTGTACCGTTCTCGACTCTAAATCCTTTTTCTTCCTACGTCCTCTTCCTTTCTTCTTTCTCTCTCTTTTTTTTGGGGGGGGGGGGGGGGGAGGGGGGGGCGACCACCCCCACCACCCCCTGGCTAGGCGCCTGTATCCTCTCTGTCTCTCATTATCTCTCTCCCACTCTCTTCTTCTTTTTTTGCACTTTTGCGCTTCGCGCTTAACATTTACTAAGCTCGTTGCTTTTTAACGCTGCGGCTTTGCATTTGGCGCACTGCATTTATATGATGCTGTTGATTGAATAAATTGAATAAATTCATCAATTCCTGATGAAGCCGTATGAGCGAGAATTCAATTTATTCTCGTCTCATATACGGTCGTCTCATATACTTCGTATCCTATTTATATATGTATGTATTATGAAAATGAGATAGCAAAATGTGTATATTGATGGTCATCTTGCGAGTAATAACCATTAACTACTCTCATCGGGCTCTCATCATTATAATTTTTTTTTTTTTTTTTTTTGATGGTGAATTATTGGGGGGGGGATGATTGTACAGGCCATCCCCCCCCACCTGAAATATTGGGGGGATATATCCCCCCCCCCATCCCCCCCGGGATCGACACCCATGGTACCCCACATGATGATGTCATCAATTCGATAGCTAGTTTTTAAGTCGATAACTTCCGATTTGTAAAGCTTTAGATTTCGAGTTTTCTGATAACTGTTACTCGCCTGACAGGCACTAAAGTAGCATATAATTGGTATTATTGTAGTCTATGGTTTGTAAGCTTTCCTTTGATGTATATTTCATCCATTTCAGTTTTCACTTCCGACAAGTCTAGGGGAGGTGGAATTCCCCATGGCATAGTCATAGGCATTACACGCAATGAACCGCTACTTGCAAAGTGAATGAGCGGTGCTGGCTTATTTCGCGAGAAATCAAATTTAACTTGGCATAAACCAAATGAAATATTTAAAATAAGTGTCCCGTTTGAATGAAACCAATATTAGGCCGATAATATAAGCCGAGTATTATAATGATTGCTTACATGCAACACGCCCCCCCCCCCTAACTAGAAAAGAAAAGGAAAAAAATCTAAAATTTTCATCTTAAAACATATTAAATTTCATGATCTTTTTGGTAAATATGATGTTCAATCAATAAAATCTTTGACTTAAAAACTTGCTCCTTTTAATAATCAAATTAATTGTTGGGTGTTGTTTACTTTTTATCAACCATAACATGCAATGCATTTACACATTCCCAGTCATTCAACTCATCACACAGACAACTTCTCACTCCTCTCATGTAATGTTAGCAGGTAGGTGAGACTCACCTCTCCGTTAGAACTTAGAGTTTTCTGTTTAATCCTTACCAAATTTGAGATCTATTCTGGTTATTCTGCCATATCTTTCAAAAATGGCCAGGATATCTCGCATTCGTGTGTTGAGGCTCAGTCTCCCGATGAAAAGATGATCAGGCATAATGGTGGTGGAAGATACTTTCGAAATTACGAGTTTCAGAAAAGAAGTCACATTCACATCAGTCACTACCCACAGCTGCTTCAACTTAGTACAAAACTAGAGCAATGCCATGCAATGGGCGCCGGGTTTGTGCACGTTTGTTTATGTATGTACCATGTACTTCGGCCAAGCGCGCGCTTTCTATGGCAGAAGCCATCGGTCATCTCCCAGATGGTGTAGAAGGCTTAAAGGGACTTGGTAACATTGTTCAGATGAGAGATAGTGGTGCTAAGGTAGTGACTTCAATGCTAGATGTACAATTAAAGATAATCTCAAAAATTTGAGTGAAAACGGATCATTATTCATGGTACAAATTGGGAAAAACTGATCTGATCGATTCCTTAATTCTCCCAACTATATTGTTCTACTTCTATTCTGCTACTTGTCAAAGCCTGTTCAGCATCAAGACAAGGACAATTTAATTACATTTTAGGTGAATGTAAATCGTCACAAAGCAATAAAATGACTCTACATTCCATTCCAGACAGTTAAGTGTTGACAGATTTTTATAGCCTGTTTTATGTATTTTTCCCATAGAAAAACGGTTGGTAAAATTCAAAAATGGTTGGGAGAATTTACTGTTGATCACTGTTAGAGGGTGCCTCACATCGACGCCTTCAAAGAAAACCATAGATATCTTTGTGGTTTGAGAATTTGTTCACGATTTATTGCCTGTCAGAGGGTTAGTATAGTAGAAGGAATATAGTAAGTAACATTTTACAAAAATTAAGCAATTTTTTTCATCAACCTTCAACAATCACTTTAAGTCAAGGTTATTGTGAGGCATAATGCTTGGAGAGTTTACGCATTGACCCATATTAATAGAGGCGCTGCAGCGCCCATACATCGCTTGCATCACTTGCATCGCATCACTTGCAGCGCCCATGCATCGCTTGCATCGCTTGCATCGCTTGCAGCGCTGCGCTCCAGCGCTGGCCTTTGGAGGCGAGAAAGCATTGTGTCGTCACAACTTTTTTCGGTTGTAAGATTGCGCGTTGCCCTGTACAGCGCCGATTTGTTTTCTTCTCGGGAAGGGGCATGCATAGAGGACTGAATCTATGGTTGTTTTAATGTGGGTGGGGTGGGGTAGGTTATGCTTCAGACTGACTATTTGGGGGGTTTTAAGGTGGAGAAGAATGCGTATTTCCAGATACCGAGGGAAGGGGATGGGGTTGAGATTTGTGGAGATTTTGGAGATCTACTCTCCTTAACTTGCTTCAATGTTGCATATGGTTGAAGCAGAGTGAGCCGAATCAGTTTCCTTTGGCGACCGACTCGGTCTTTTATATAGCGCCATCTCATGAGATCATCATGGCTCGATCTGGTCGCTAATTTAGCCTTCTTACTTCTTTAAAAACACACTGTATAGCAAAGATGGATGGGCCGCAAATCATGTAATCCCTTCGAAATATATCAACTTGGTCTAGGCACAAAAATATGCAACCAGAGCGCAAAATTTGAAAGAGTGCGCCGTCCAAACAGTATCTGCTCTGTCATACATTCACAGCATGTTCTATCTTATATAAGTAATTCTAAAATCAGCTACAATTACGTCATTTTACATACGCCTGTCCGGCATGCATCATCAGCGGATAGTTATTTCTCCTCAATATATGTCTCGGTTTGAATATCTATACCGTCGTAATGTCTTCGTGTCGAACTTTGGTGTTTTATTTTTACGAGAGTGGAGAACAAAACAGCCTTCTCTTACACTTGAGGCTACACAAATTCAAGAGAACAAATGCACATAACACGAGCTTTTTGTCGTTCTCAACACACTTTTTATTTTGGTATTCAGGGATGACAAATAAATTATACGATTTCGTTAAGCAACTGCTCGAGGAGCATTTGGGCGATGGTATAATTGTCAACACCGTCGTCATACACTTCAGATATTGACAAGTCCATTGTGCTACTGTTGGTCTCTTCGGAGAGATCCCACGTGAAGTCCGATAGTTCAGATACGTAAACTCGACATATCGTCATCGTCGTCGCTCTCATCGAATAACGAAGACCAGCTAGATATTGAACTCAAGCTGTCGTCATCATAACCGTCGTCGTCAGACACTGCTGAAGGAACGACCAAGTGGGGTTTGGTGTCGATGTTGCAATTCTCCGCAACTTTGGGAATTTCGACGTTGGATGCTCCACTTGCGAGGTGGAACTGCAAGATCAAAGAAGGGAAAGAGAGTGAAGAGCTGAATTATGCTTCAGAGTAAACCACTTCTTTTCCAGTAAGAATAGCAAATGGAACTCGAAAGTCCATACTTGTCTAGAATCTACAAAAAAAAAGGACAATTTTCAGTGTATTCTGTCTATTATTTGCACTACTAGGCGAGCGATGACTATTGAAACAATTTCAGAAGAAGATTCGAATGTTGGTATTGTTCTAAACGATTTACTTACCAATGCAATGTCATCAACTGTCACTGCGACTTGACATTCGTCATCAGTAGATGCTGTAAACAATAATGAGAATATCGTAATGTCATTCTCTTATCTGCAGATCAATTTTTGCTCATTCTTTTTTTTCTTGTTAAAAACTCATCGTTACTTGGTTCTGAAATGACACGACTTCTGTCTCGTTTAAGAAGGAATGTACATACCAGCTTCAATTAAACAATTCACCCCCACCCCGTTTAATCGTTGAGAATTCATCTGTATATTTGAAAGTGCCATTTATCTCATTCATTTATTTACCTCCAACGCAGCAGCAGAATTTTCGAAAACCTTTGGTCACTGTTTTTCTAAATCGACCAAAGAATCGACGCCTTCTCAAAGACTGATTTGGCATTGTGAAGCAAGCAAGATGTACAGACATCTGAATACGAGGGGAATTCAGTAAAGAATGGAGCGCTAGCAACACATTTTCTTGAAACGTAAACATACCGGCGCGTAATGCATAGTGATAGCACGTGAGTGGTTACTGCGCGCTGATTGGATGGAAGTTTGTGCGATGCGCCGGTATCATTGTGAGGTCACATATTAACGCTTGGAGAGTTTACGCATTGACCTATATACGTAGAGGCGCTGGACTTTGGAGGCGAGAAAGCATTGTGTCGTCACAACTTTTTTTGTAAGATTGTGCGTTGCCCTGTATAATAACTGTTTTCTTCTCGGGAGGGGGGGGGGGGGGGGGGGGGGGGGCAGGAGGGACAGGAACGATGGTTGTTTAAATGTTGGCAGGTTGGGTAGGTCATGCTTGAGACTGACCATTGGGGGGGGAGGGAGGGGTTAGTTAGCTGGAAAAGAATTCGCATTTCAAGATGGGGAGGGGGGGGGCCTTGTGGGGGATAAAGTTACCATCTACTCTCCTTAACTCGCTTCGATATTGCATTTGGATGAAGCAAAATGAGCCGAATCAGTTTCCTTTGGCCACCGACTCCGTCTTTTATACAGGTATAGCGCCATCTCATGAGATCATCATGGCTCGATCTGAGGTTAATTAAGCCTTCTTACTTCTTAAAAGCAAACTACATAGTGAAGATGCATGGGCCGCAGATCATGTAATCCCTTCGAAATATGTAAGACGGAGTGGGTCACCGGAGGCTCGTAGATTCCTGCTAGGGGTGTATAGGGTCAAACAATCACGTAGGTATTGAGGTGCTTGTTTATTAAGGGATTTATAAACTAAAAATAATAATTTAAAAACTATACGATATCTTACAGGAAGCCAGTGCAACGAGTCAAGGAGTGGTTTAGGGGAGTGAAATCTCGTAACCTGATAAATTAGCCGGGCTGCCCAATTTTGAAGTCGTTGGATACGATCTAATTGAGTAACAGGGATAGAGAACGAATTGCGTTGTTACAAGGCAGGCGGATTGCCAGCGATGGATAATCGCCATAACCCCAATTGTAGGTATAACGGTCTCTCCTGGGATTTCTGTCTGTCTGTCATTCATATATTTATAATATATTATATTCATATTCAAATTTATTGTCCAAAAATTGGAAATTTGTTTCATTTGCATGTCAGTACAAGATTACAAATTACAAACATCAATAAGATACAGATGGATACAGAGTAAAACATTTAACTTGAACATAGTGTTGGCTCAGTCAGTAGAGCGTCCGCCTCACAACCGGGAGGTCGTGGGTTCGAACCCCGGCCGCGTCATACCAAAAGACGTTAAAAGATGGGAGTCGTTGCTACCTTGTTTGGCGTTCAACAATAAGGGATAGAGCAACGTCGATCTGGCGCTGCTCAGTGGCTGCCGGGCTCACGATCAATTGGGCAAAAAGAATTTCCGTTTCGGTTTAATAAAATTTGGAGTGGACTATTAGGCTATTATTATTATTATTATTATTATTATAGGTAACAACAAATGCGATAGTTCAACATGCAGACTAAAATTCGATTCATAATTCAAGTAGTTAAATTCAATCCATAGTTCGGATTAAATTAAATTCGCAATTCAGATTAAATACAATTAAAAATTCAGACCAATTCAATTCGTAATTCAGATCAAATCCATTTCAAATCCCGATCACATTCAATTCGTAATTCAGATTAAAATAAAATTAACAAAATCAAATCACATTCAATTTATAATTCAAACTAAGTAATTATATTAAATTATATATATATATATATATCTTTGAGATAATTGGGTCTTACCCACAACAGTACTTTTAGTCAGAGGCGGAACTCCGGGCGGCAGGGGGGCTGAGTGCCCCCCTTTCAAGAACCCAAAAGTGCCCTCTAGCTTTGTAAAAAGTGCCCCTGCCCTTTTATTTTGACACGAGCCCCTTTTCCTTCGACAAGTTCCCATTTTTCTTGGCAATAAGTGTCCATTTTCCATTCTCATAAGTGCCCTTTTTAATCTCTAGTAAGAGCCCCTTTTCAGATACGAGAAGCGTCCCTGCACCTCTGATAATTACCCTATTCGAATCTGAGAGGGTGCCCCTTTGTACTTAATTGACAAGTGCCCCTTCCCCCTTTTAATAACTACCCCTTTTTAACTAGGATGAGCCTACCTTATATGTTCACATGCGCTCTTTTTCCCTTCTTATAAGTGCCCTTTTCCTTGTTATCAATGCCCCTTTTCAATCTCATAAGTGCCCCCTTTCTTCTCTGGTAAATGGCCCTATTAAAATC